AAGTACAGAGAAGGAATACCGAGATGAGAGGAGCAGACAACCTGCCTTAAGAGACCAACATATTTTTTGCCCCATCAAAATACAAGCCAAGAAGAGATGCAATTGTTCTCAAAAAATATACTGAGGACTAAACAGAGAAGGAAGACCTATCTAAAATAAGTGACAATGTCTCTGCAAAAACTAACAGGAAAACGGATTAGGAACAGGTTAGGATGGAAATTAAAAGGTTTCTCATTATCTTAGAAGTGAAGTTCTGGATCAGTCTTTCAACAGAAATGGTAGGGACACGAAATATGTTTTTAGATGAGCTTGATTAGTTTATTAAAATAATATGGCATGCAACTGCATGCAAATGACTCAATCCCAATGGTCCTTCCAGACCTGTGTTCCATTCACATGTAGTACGGTGCCATGAAGCTAGACTGAAAGCTATTTGTAGTGCTTATTATAATGGGGTTTGACCTTTAACTGGAGTCTCTAAATCCCAGTACAGTCCAAATGTATAATTCTGGAAAACATACCTTTTTCACATTTGAGTAAGGATTTTTATACACACACCATGGGATGCAGAAAGCAGGGTAGATTTGCATCTTTAAAGACAAACTAAATCAGAGATGTACAGCATAAACTTTTGTAACCAGAGGACTTTCTATTACAAAGTGAATCTTGGGTTTCACTTTATATCTTTCATGAAACCTCTAAGGGGAGGATTTTCCATTTTTATCACAAAAATAGATCTTAGGCATGAAAGACTCAATTAAAGGATGTTAGTGTATGAGAAAGCCCTTTGTTCCCAGGGCTTGAGCCTGCCAACTCTTTGGTAATGCCAGTTTATGTTGGGCCAGGGAACAAGAGATGAAAGTCCAATCCAAGGCATCTTTTACCTTACATATATATATATATCTATTTACTTTGGATATATCTATACATATAGATCTCAAGCAACTTAAGAACCACAAAATGACAACTAAGCTTTGACACTGAAGCTGCTATAGGCTAGAAAGACAACCCTAGTAGTAGACAACTTCAACTGAACATAATCAAAACCAGTCCTTTTCTACAGTTTATATGCACATAAGTGCAACTGTACCTTAGGGATGTTGTACTTAGTAGCCATGTTGTCTAAGACAACAAGCAGTGCAAAACTCTAGGACTCTCGGTTCAGAGATGATACCTTTTATTAGACCAACTAAGAAATTGCGAAAAAGAAAAATACTTTTTGTGCAATTTCTTAATTGGTCTAATAAAGGTATCATCACTGCACCTTAGGTAAGTTTTCAGAACTTAACGCTAAACTCAGCTTGGTGCTAACAAAGGCCATTACAATGCAGTGATTGTTGTGATATGCTATGCAAAATTATAATTTTTTGATTTAGCGTATGCTCTTTCAGCATATGGTTTGAGCTGTCTTCAGGCCATGTTATCACCAGTATGAAGAAACTGAAGACCACCAGGTAGCCTTGTAAATGGACCCAAGTCAACAGAGCGAGACATGGTTTGAACTTGTCCACAAGGGCATTTATATTCACTGACCTGAATATTGTTAGCTATATTTGACTGTTGAGAAACTTAGGAAGTGTTTAAGACACAGGAAGGGCCCTGCAGCTGACTGGGAAATGTTTGGAACGTACTCTACCAATACAACTACAGCTAAAACCATTTTTAAAATGGGTCAAAACTCAGATTCAAGAATAGCCAATACAATAGTAAATCTGACCTCACCCAGTGCACCTAAGTGTGAGGGGACAGGGAGGCGAAGGAGAGAAGGAGGAGCAGAGAGGTCCAAGCCAATCTCAATAGGCTTGCAAGGTGCGCAGATGAAAACCTGGTGGCATTCAATATGGAGAAATGCAAGATGCTCTACCTCAGGAATAAAAACCCGCATCACACTTATAGGCTCCACAATGCTACGCTCGCTAGCAGCACAACCGGAGGAGGCTTGGGGGTCATGACTGACCACAAGATGAACATGAGCCATCAACACAATACCACAGCTGGCACAACGAACAAAACTCTGACTTGCATCTACTGATGCAAGACCCAGGATGTCATCCTCCCACCGTACTCTGCCTTGGTGAGGCCGCAGCTGAAGTACTGCATCCAATTTTGGGCTCCACGATTTAGGAAGGAGGTGGAGAACTTGAAAGAGTCCAAAGGAGAGTCACACGCGTGATCGGAGGGCAAGAGAGCAGGCCTTATGAAGAGAGGCTGCGAGCCATGGAACTTCAGCCTGGAGAAGTGCAGGCTCAAGGGCAACTTGGTGGCAGCCTATAAGTACACCAGGGGTGTGCATCAGGATCTGGGGGAACGTCTGTTCACCAGAGCACCCCAGGGGATGACAAGGTCCAATGGTCACAAACTCCTGCAAGACCGTTTTAGGCTAAACGCAAGAAAAACTTCTTTACTGTCCAAGCCCCCAAAGCCTGGAACAAACTCTCCCCAAGAGGTGGTGCAAGCACCTGCTCTGGACTCTTGCAAGAAACATCTGGACATTTTTCTTGCTGGGATCCTTTGACCCTAGATGACTTCCCGCCCCTTGGGCAGGGGGCTGGATTTGATGATCTTAAGAGATCCGTTCCAGTCCTAATGTCTATGAAATCTATGAGAGAGGGAATGTGTTTTTGTTCGCTTGAGGCAATTATCTAAAGCACTGTTTGGTAGTACAATTCAAGGAGAAAGGATGGGAAAAAAAAATCTTAGTCCCTACTAATATTTTTCTAGCAACAACAGAGCTGTGGCAGGCACTGATCTGCTCGCAGCTGACATGGCCCAAGGTCAATCCTGGTGAAACAGCAGACTGTATTGATTCTAGCACACTCTTTCCAGCTACATTCAAATAAATCAGTTTTCCTAGTCAGGTAAAACTGAACCATGTTTTAACCATGGTTTGCAGCACTTTTCAGGAAAACATTTTTTTTTCCTTTTGTCAATACTGGAGACCAAGCCCATTTTTAACTATAGGAAATATCCCATAAGTATCATCTCCATACCAAGAGGACCACGTTAAGAGTCCTTCCACCTACACGTCTGCTTCAAGGAAGGCAAAACAAATCAGCCCGGGGCAAAGGGACAAGACCTCCTCTTTCCTTTTCCAGATGCGTTTCATATTTAAGCTCTCCCTCAAAACCACAGCCGTAGGGAAGCAGTTAGCAGGAAGCAAAGTGACAGCTCCTTAACACAAGAGTCACTCAGGCCAAACCTGATTTCAAGGAGTTTACCAAAGATGTGGAAGAAAGTACATATATTATGGCAGCAACTTTGTCAAAAGGTCAGTGAGGTGAAAAATAACTCAGACAACGGGTCACCAATACAGAGAAAGCACAACGAAACACATTTTAATATGGTCAGCAAGAGGTCAGACATCTACAAACATCACCCACATTTACAAGTGGGCCGTGTCCTGGAAAGCAGTGACTCCGGAGGACTCTGGACAGCCTCCAGGATAACCAACTGAACACAAGGTCCCGATAAGCAGGGATCCTGGTTTTCTCCAATTAAAAAAAGTAACCCAAAATCCACATTTGTGTGCAATTAAAACAAAACAGAGATGGAGATGGAGAGTTTCATTTTAAAAATCACCCCAAAATGTGGATTTGGGTTACTTTTTTTGTTTTTTAAATCTGAAAATTGGGGATTTATTTTGTAAACAAAATCAGAGAAATCCAGGATCCCTGCTGATGAGAGGCTGAGGCAAAAAGGACTAATGGGCTCTCTGGACAGGAAAGCAGGATGACCCAGGAGAGAGAAGCTATTACTTCTGCACACAGCAGCAACGAGATCAATACCGAACTACAGCATTTTTTCTCTTCCCTTAAATGCTGTGAAAAACTGAAGAAGTTTCCAAAAATGAGGCAAGAACGATTCAAGGTCTGGCAGAGCCGCTTTGCTGGGAAAGACACTAGGGCAGTGGTTCCCAAACCATGACAGACTGTGCACCGTCAATTTAAAATTGATACAACCTTAAGGACCACCAGCAAATTTCGCAGATCAGCCTTAAGGACCACCAGCAAATTGCTGTCATATAGTTATAACAAATCTGTCAACTGGTAGCATTGACAGGCTGTCTGCACCCCGCTGGCGGTGCCGGTCCCACAAATTGGGAACTGCTGCACAGGTTGGGGGGTGGGAAGGAGAGTGTCCATCCTTCACAGGGGTGGCTGAGGACAGCGAGTCCCAACCCAGTGCCACAGCACCTTCGCAGTCCTGTGACGGGCACGGCGCAAGGGTAATATGCAAACACCATAGGAAAGGTCAACCCAGCGGTCCCTAATAGGAAGCCGCCTACCCAGCCAGGATGTTTCTGAGGTCTTGCCTGCGTCCATCTGGTTTCTTTCTGAAGTGGAACCCCCCCACCAAAAACAAACTTTGAGAGCTGTGTCCCCAAGTGCAAACAGGTCGACTGGTGACAATCGCGGGTGACCCGGACCCGGCAGGGGGGGCGAAGGGCGGCCGGGGCTGGAGCACACACGTGGGCTTTTCTGCCCGTTGACCCGGCAACGCAACGCAACACAACACACACGCAGCACCACACACACAACCCAACCCAACCCAACCTAGGCCCAGTCCCCGCTGGAGCGCGGGGTCGTGGTGACGTGACTGCTGTGACATCAATACCCCCGCCGTGACATCATTACCCCCGCCGTCACATCACGGCCCCCCAGCCGCCGGGCAAGGGCCGGGGCCGGGGCCGAGCGCGGGCCGGGACAAGCCCCAAGGCCTTGCCGGGAGCGCGGGGCGGGAGAAAGGGGCCGGGGCCGGGGC